CATACCTAATTTTAGTGTGCAGTGATAACCAATTTGTGCAGCGATAAAAGTTAAATGTGCAGTGATAAAATGTAAAATGTACAGTCTGTGATAAAATTTCCTGTGATAAGTTGTTAATTATAACACAAGAAAATGAGGCAATGAGCAGAAAAACTGAACTAATCAAAACATTTTGAATGAGAATAATTTGAATGAAATTGAAATGCATGATGTCTGCCTAATTATTACGTCCGCACTAATAATATACTTAATTTTCATCAGATGAACAAAGTCTCTCACCAAAGATCTCTTTATGAGTTTGAAAGATGGAGTAATTAGTGTACAATCTTCAGAACTCTATAGAATGTCCCCGTATATTGCAGGAGATGCCCTTTTATAGTACCTAGTAATGTTCTCCAACTACCGGACAATATCGGTTCTACCGGTCTTTTCTAAAATTTTGGAAAGGGTCGTGTATGAACGTCTATTAAATTATTTAAACGAATACAATATTTCGTTGAATAATCATTATGGCTTTGAGAAAAAATCATTCCACCTCACTTGCATTAATTCATTTATTGGATAAAATTACAACTGCTTTTGATGAAAAAAATATACAATTGGAATATTTCTTGATTTATCTGAGGCTTTTGATAACGTCGATCATGAGATACTTTTTGAGAAACTTGCGCATTATGGTATTCGAGGATCGGTCCTTCAATGGATCAAAAAGTTATTTTACTAATAGACAACAGTACGTTGAATTCAACAGTACTTGTTCTTCATTAAGTAAAATTAAGTGTGGCGTACCTCAAGGGTCAATCCTCGGACCTTTGTTTTTCTTGATTTATATTAATGATATAGCTAATTCTTCTAGCATAGCCGAAATGATTTTATTTGCTGATGACACAAATGTGTTTTTTTCCGATAGTGATTTATCTACTAGGTTAACAACTGTCATTAATAGTGAAATGAAAAATCTATCAGAGTGTTTTTTTGCTAATAAACTGTCCCTCAACATTAAGAAATCTAATTGTATAATTTTCACCCCTAGACAAAGGAAGCAAACACTTGATCTATTACTTGAAATAAATAATCATAGGCTAGAACGAGTCAAGGAAACTTCTTTCCTTATTTTGGATGAAAGTCTAACTTGCAAATCACATATCTTGTATGTTGCTAGCAAAATTTCAAAGTCCATTGGAATAATATATAGATCAAGTTTCTGCCTCACTCGTCTTACCCTGCGCACCTTGTATTTTGCTCTCGTATATCCCTAATTAAACTATTGTGTTATCATTTGGGGAGCAACGTATCCTTCAAATCTCAACCGTCTATTATTACTACAGAAAAAAGTAGTAAGAATTTTAAGTAACGCATCCTATGATGCGCATACTTCACCTTTATTTAAGTCCAAAATGATACTCAAATTTGAAGATATACATATCTTCTAAATCTGGGTAAGTTCATGTTTTCTTATCAGAACAATCTACTTCCCCCCAAGGCCAAGTTTTAGCAATTTTATTTTACCACTGCTCAAATCCACTCTCACAATTTACGGACTGCTGGCCAATTTTATGTTCCATTTTGTAGAACGAAGGCCAAACAGTTTACTGTAAAATACCAAGGCCCTAAATTTTTTAATTCTTTAAATTCGAGATTCACCCTCAATCTCAACATTTCAACTTACGCTTAATAAATATCTTTTGTCTCTTTATAGTTAATCAGTTTTCGTGTTTATTTCTTGTCGCATTGTACTGTACTCCTGTTTGTCTTCCTTACGTGCAGACATTGTTATTTTAATCAATGTATTATAATTATTGTTAGTTTATAACCGTAACTGCATGTCAGTGAATTCTTGAGTTATTGCTGTAGATGATGAGGTAACCCAAGATTCCAATAAGCCTTCTGGTTTCGACTTGGGTTTCCTCGCCACTATCTGCTTCTTGTTTTATTTTGTTAATGTATTAGTTTATTTTGTTGGCAAAATTAAATCAATCAATCAAAAATTTTCTGTGGATGCATATGCCCCTGGAACTCCTCTAAAGGATTGTCACGCCTAAGCCGCCTTTCATTTGCCAAAACGAAAATATTTCTTTTCTTCATGTGATTATGAAACTATGCTGTGATTGCTGTCATAAATAGTTGTAACTGCAGGTGCTGTCAATGCCGCCCAGAGGGGGCATTTTTCCCTGGGATCCAGTTAAAAGGGGAGGCAAATAAAGAATTACAGTGAAATATACATAGACATAACTGTCAACTAGACTTCCAGAATGCAGGATTTGGCCATTTCTGGCACCTCAGATTTCAAAATTTTTCCGAGGGGAAATGCACCCGGACCCCCTAATCATAGTGTTAGATGATGGAATCACGCAGTCCAACGAATCAAAGTTTGTCTTTGTCCCCAAAATTTCCCTGTATGGTACTGTGCAGAGTATGTTCGTTTTGACATTTTTGAATAGCAATTGTGGCCTGTTTTGTTGTTACACATTATTATAAGGGTGTGTTCAGAAATTGTCAGGACGTGTTTCTGCTCGGCTAAACTTTGCATAAAAATGTGCAGTGATAAAAAATTCTTAAAATTAGGTATGGACTGTAGAACACCTTTAAGGATTTTCCCGTGGGGGGAGGGGATTTTTTGAAAAGGGACCTTTCTGTGAGATAATATATTAGAGGGGGATAGGAACGGCTGAAGGCCACGTGTGTGGACGACAGACATACCACGCATGAATAGGGGGTCTGGGGCACAGTCCCCAGAAAATTTTTGCAATTTGAAGCACGGAAATGCCATTTCCTGCATTCTGAGCGAGTCAAATTTGCTAAAAAATTTATGCTAAATATACTTGTATTTGAAATAAAAGAAGGAAAAAACGCACAAAAAGTTAAAAAAAATATTAACCGCAATTCATCATTACTTATTAGAGGGGGATAGCAATGGCCGAAGGCCACGTGTATGCGAGCATACTACCCAGAAAATTTTTGAAATTTGAAACCCGGAAAAGTCATTTCCTGCATTCTGAGCATCCAAATTTACTCTAAAATTTATGCTAACTATACTTGTATTTGAAATAGAAGAAGGAAAAAACGCACAAAAAATAAAATAATTATTAACAATAATTTATCATTATTTAAATAGTGGTGGAAAAACGTAACAACTTAAATCGATTTTGTTAATCAAGGACAAAGGATAAAGCCTAAAACTTACTTTCCGTTTATCTATTTGTTTTTCTTCACTGGTTTGTTCATAGATTTAGGAAAAAGGGACTTTTCCTGGGGGGGGGGGAAAGATTTCGTGGAGGGGGACTGGGGGGCATTTGCCCCCCCCCAGTTTGTATGTTAAAAAAGGCCCTGCCAAGCTTGTTCTCAACCTTTGACAAGCTATTGCCAAATCGGATCTGCAACTTCGACCAACTTTAACCAAATATTTTCCATTTTGACCAACTTTTGACACCCCAGTAGCGACGTCCCATCTATTTGTTAAATGGACTATATCAGCCGGACTATTTTACATCATCGGTACCGAACTTGGTCACGACAGTTACGACCAAATGGAAACCAGGCTTTAAATATCCTGATTTGCCACAAAGCAATAAAAACCGTATATGTAAAGTTCCAACAGACCTTAGTTCCCACTCCCTGAGCTCCGGCTTTTGTTGTTATTGCACGAAATCCTTTGGCGTTGCATGCATGCACCCATCAGCGAATAACATGTCTGTGTTGAAATTTTTTTGTAGATCAGCCTATATGTTTTTCTGTGGTGACGAGAGACCCAAAGTTAGAGAATCTCAGCCAGATTTACCCATGACAGAAATCGCCAAAGTTTTGGGCAAGATGTGGGCTGAAATTGATACTGCAGGGAAAGCAAAATATACCAAACAGGCAGAAGATGATCGTGAAAGATATACTAAAGAAATGGCGGATTACAAGAAAATAGCGTCTGAAGATACGTCTACTGTAAAGAAACAAAAGTAACTATTGTACAGGATTTCTCTGCGTACATACGAGAAATAACTCCGTTCCGTTAAAATACGCACACATAAGTCATAAGAGAACATATCTAATGACAAAATTGGATCGTTTTTAGTTAACTAAGGATTGTGATATACACGAAGTTGAAACATTTATTTTGATACATGTACAGTCTGAATTCACTACGTTTATGCATCAAAGATATCTTTGTAAAATTTATTTGAATTATTATGAATAAATAAAGTGTTGTTATACTGTAGCAATGTTTTAATGACAACTCGCCATGCGAATAGGGTCATCAGTAGAGGTGTGCAAATCAGATCCGATCCGATCGGATTCGTTCGGATTTCGGAACAAAAATTTCATTTCGCCTGGATCGGATTGACAAAGTTGTTTCGGAGTCGGATCGGACTTCGATATTCGAAATAAAATGAATTAATTATCTGCGACAACGCGGTTGTCCCTGCATTATTCGTTTTAATAGTTCAATTGAACGTCACTTTGTCAGCTTCTTGACATGCATTTCTTGCTTTTATATCAGTATTTGGTTAAATATTTTCACTTGAATGAGAAATTTATTTTATTAAAGGACTCTTCGGATCGGAATTCTTTATCAAAACTCGGATCGGATTAGACAATTTCGGATCGGATTTTAAACATTAGCCAATTGTCGGATTATAAACAGCCAGTCCAATCCGATGCACACCTGCGTGGTGAATATCTCATTTCATATATTCACCGAATGTGACGCACGCTGAAAGTGGTGACACTGATTGTTAGAATTACTGGTGTCCGCGTCCTAACGTGTTAACACCAGGTTTAACACGAACTTAACAGACACAAACGACACGTTTGTCATGAACTAGAGTTGAGCAACTCTGAAAAATCGTCAGTGTGATTATCGTCTCGAAATTATCACGATATTCGATAATAATGCAATAATTTTCAATTTTAACATATTCGGCAAAACAAGCAACATTAACACTAAGATGAAATTCCAATGCCTAAATACTAATAAATAGTATACTCCAACACGAAATGAGCAGAACAAAATTAAAATTTGATGTTTTAGGCGGGCATTATCCAGAAAATATTGAACTTGCTGTCTTTAGGGTGCTACTTTGTTGCCGCATGCAAAAAGCATTAACAGATAAAGAATATCCTTAATTGAATTATTACTACCATACATCGTAAATAATTATAAAGTGACGGCTAAAATGACTGACTTAGTCAATTAATGCGAAAAAAGATCGTGCATTCCCATGATGTATTGCGCGCTCATAGTTTAACATTTAATTAAGGTTTTGAGCCGTTCGAAGGACAACCTTTTTTGAACTAGCTGTATATTAAGCAGAAGAAAAATTAAAACCGTTCTTGAAAGACAAAAACGAATAATAAAAAAATGGTTTACACAATATAAGTGTAAGTTTTGTACAAAGCTAGTCCGTTTGTTAAAGATAAACGAATTATCATAAATCACATAAACTTTATACTGAATATCTATTTCACCAGAAAGTCTACGAATTTCTTCTTTTCCTTCCTCTATATAAACGCAATCTTTCCTCACGAAACTTCAGTTTGTCTTCAAAACATTTCTTTCCTCACCTAACATTGGTCAAGACATTGTCCTGTTTCTCAATTTCAAAATGTCCACTCAATCCATAGTAGTCTAAGATCGAGAGAGAGTAAAAGAAAATATGAGATAGAATAATCAGAATGTAGGTATACTACGCGAAGCGTTCCTTTTTTGAATCCCTATATAACTCATTTGCATGGAATTTTCCTAATTACCTTTGCAATACAAAATATTGTATTTTTAAACCGGACAAGGTCAAAGTATAGAAAATTTAAATAACAAATTGAACTTTATATTTCGCGTTCAGATCAGATTTTTAACCCTTTTGAATTATAAAGACAAGCACGGATAAATTGGGCAGGCGCGTAGCCAGCGCATGGCGCCATACGATTGGGGTCTAAAGTGTCAAATACATAAAACTACTGTTCTAAAAGTCCCCGGAAAATTTTTCAATTTTTAGATTAGAGAAACGCTCCCAAGTGCATATTTGGCATGGCCTTTTGGTGATCTATAGCCTATATGCCACAGATTTGGTTTATTTGATGCCATAGATGAAATATTTACGAGATTAACAAAGCATATGCGTAATAATCTAATAACATCCATGATAACATGTCAAATATAATTAATAATAGATAAAGACAGTTTTGAAAATTTGAAAAATGCTTTAATGCATTTTAAAATCACTTTCCTTTCAAAACGATACAGCATTTACACGAACGCGGGAATCTAATTTGTGTTCCGTTTTCATATAACTTTGCATCTAACTTTCAGATTACACGAATATATTATAGTGGAAGTTTTCTAGGCTTCAAAGCAAATGTATCGACAAGAGATTGCAATTTAATATCTTTGGCCACATCTCTTTCGCTACTAGCAAGAACCAAGCTCTTAAGTCGATCTTCACCCATGGTTGCTATCATGTAATTGTTGATAATTTTAACTTTGCTGTGGCATCTTTCGCATGAAGCTATTGTAATTGGAATTGTGGACGCAATACAAATGATTCTGCGAAGGTTTCGGTAAAAGCCAGCGTAATCACTTCACCAAACTTCTTAATACTAATGGAAGGTCGTAGTATAGAAAGGCCGGTTGAAGCGCATTTTTCCGAAATTCAATTATGACATCATCAATCACGTGATTTTTCCATGTGAACAGCGATTAAGTTTTCTGTGAAGATGTTTACACCTTTGAAGCATGAATTTTTCGCGAGCGAGTTCAGTTGTGTTTCTGTGGTTACTAGCTTAACGTTTACTCTGTTCCGAACGTTCTCCATAGTCTTTCCAAATACTGAGTTGTTCATTAGCTTAAAGAAGTTCTTTTCAAAATCTGTTGTACCTTTTGTTCTAAGATTTGTGTTAAGTTGTATATATTTTGCTAACCATGGACTTTCTTCAAACTTTACCCACGATGTATTTTTGTTAATTTTAATCCTAATTCCAAGTATAATTCTAAGTTTCTATGATATATTACATAATTTTTCTTATCGTTTAAATTTGGAATTAATTTTTCAACTTTATTTACTACCATGCTTTCCGGCGCGAGCGGATATTCGTTGTGGATGTCATGTAGATTTTCCGGATATTCCATATCCACTTCCAGTATGCATGAGATGTTTTCCCAGTTGCTTAGTTCAGCCTCTGTCATCCATTTGAAGTTTCTGACTGGCAATGGTTGACTCATTGCCCATCCATATAAGTTATTAGCGTCTAAGTATGGTATGTATATGTTACCTTTTTTGGATCATAATTTTTCATATATTTGTTATTTGCCTTCGCGTATCTTTTCATTATCGTGCTGACTCCACCTCGTATTCCTTTCTCTATCATAAGATACATGTTTGGGTCGTGAATGAGTTCTAATACTATTTTTGTGATTTTTAGCGCCGCATCCTATGTGAGTCCTGGCGCCGTGTAATAATGCAATGGATCTAATCCATAATTTTCCATACACATACACATTTTTTTAAATTTACACATGACGTCTGTGAGCAGTAGTACGTCTGTTTTGAGATACAAATCGTGATAGTCGCGCATTGTTTTGCAACCGAATGTTTTCCAGACTTTTTGTGCGTGTTCGTAGTCCTCGTCGCTTATGTCTGTGTTATTTAATTTACTTTCAAAAACTCATTAATAATTCATGAAGCAATTATCCAATCTTGAGTAAGAAATTAGTCACGTGCATACGTCTTTATACCAGCTAAAGAACACTTTAACAAAAGACCATTGTTATGCAAACTATATAAAGATTTTTATATAGAGATTTTTATATAAAGGTTTTTATATAAAGATTTTTATATAAAGATTTGACTTATTATGCATACGTTTTTGAAGTCATTTAAAAAACTCGCGGGTCGTGTTTTATTAGGTCTAAAGCCACTCGCGCTGCGCGCTCGTGGCTTTAAACCTAATAAAACACTCCTGCTCGTTTTTTAAATAGTATATAAAACTCTTTCTTACTAGGCAACCTATCATATTGTAATTTGTCATAGTCTGTCATAAATTCATATGGAAACACTCCTTTTCTCTTCAATAATTCTATTCCTGAGTGTTTCATTTGACTTCCTAATGTTTTAAAATCATCCTTACCTAGCGTGTTAACGAGGGAATCAAGCGACTTAATCGTGAATTTATATGAGTCAATGAACCGCATTTCCAGATATAGCGTTTTCTCTTTATCGTCTGATATGATGGTTTCCATGGGAATTTTCTTACTAAATGATATATATTTTTCGTCTGTTTTTGGGATGCAATTAATATCACCCTCACTTAGTCCCAGGCTTTTTACAAACAAATGTGCGTCATAACTTTCCAAATTGTGAAAAAGTATTGGTACGAACTTTGGTGTCCTCATTCGTAGGTTGCATTTACCGCATGCGGCTCCTCGGTATTTGCCAGTGATATGACAGTGATCCCTACACTTAATTACTTTTTCTTCCTTACCATTCCCCTCATTTATCCTGACGGTTCCGAATTGTATGTTACATGCATAACAGTTGTCAGATTCAGTGTAGTTCTTTTCATCCTCTTCCGTCATGTTTATTGGTGTTACTTTTTTAAGAATTTCATACACTGGTTTCAGGTTTTCTTCCAGTGAGTCAACAAACATTCTCCCGATATCCTCATGCTTATTTTGCGCCGTGTATGTTACAAATTTTGTTTCGTAAACGCTCTCATCCATACATTTTACCGTGTATGAGAATCCGCTAGGTTTATGCTTTTGATATTGAACCGTGTATGACTTAGTTGAGTTACCCTCTGTGTAGTCCATTGGTTCTAAAAAGCACTCAAAATCTGCGTTCACCATGAATGGCACTTCATGTAACCGTTCGAAATTTTTGAAGAATGTTGTGCTGCCTTTGGATGGGTAGTGATGATGTTGTAATTTATGATTTTCACATAGTGCTGTGTGTTCAGCTAGGAGTTTCTCCGTCCCGAATGCGTTTAT